TTAGAACAGAGGACAGTGCTAACACAGGTTCCGTTAGAACAGAGGACAGTGCTAACACAGGTTCCGTTAGAACAGAGGACAGTGCTAACACAGGTTCCGTTAGAACAGAGGACAGTGCTAACACAGGTTCCTTTAGAGCAGAGGACAGTGCTAACACAGGTTCTGATAAAAGTGCAGGATAGCCACAAAAAATAAGCAGAGTGTACTGCTAACATTGGTTCAGCACTAGTTTTAATATAACAGGCTGAGAAAGATGTCACCTGTCTTACTTCTTTAACTTAGCCTATACCATTAATAGAGCTAATGGCCCACCAGCATACTGGAGCTGCGTTTGTCAGTCCTGGTGCCTTTAATCTCAAAGGAAACAGTGTGCAGCTTTTGGGATCCTTCCATTTTTATCAGAAGTTATTCATATGGAGTCAGCTTATGAAAATTTTATCTTGAGTTAATAATTCAAAGTGAGCTCATTAAGTGTCTGCAGTGGAGCCATCGTGGCTAAGCTCAACAATAACGGCTAGCGAGGCTTGGAGGTGACGTGTAGCGATGATGGTCACTCTCCACTCTGCTGCCTGTCCCAGGTGCCCCTGCAGTCTGCCCAGCCCTTGAAATTCACTGTCCTGGAAACCCTGGACCGCATCAAGGAGGAGTTTCAGTTCTTCCAGGCCCAGTACCACAGGTAGGCCTCTCTCCATATGTAGGTGTGGCACTGCAAGTGTACTACAGGTTAGGCTAATGCTACAGGTTAGGCAAGCGCTGCAGGTAAGGTTTACACTACAGGTAAGGCTAGTGCTACAGGTTATGCTAACGCTACTGGTAAGACTTACATTACAGGTTAGGCAAGTGCTACAGGTAAGGCTTACACTACAGGTAAGGCTAGTGCTACAGGTTATGCTAGCGCTACCAGTAAGACTTACATTACAGGTTAGGCTAGTGCTACAGGTTAGGCTAGCACTACATGTTAGGCTAATGCTACAGGTTAGGCAAGCGCTACAGGTAAGGCTTACACTACAGGCAAGGCTAGTGCTACAGGTTATGCTAGCGCTACCGGTAAGACTTACATTACAGGTTAGCCTAGTGCTACAGGTTAGGCTAGCACTACAGGTTAGGCTAATGCTACAGGTTAGACAAGCGCTACAAGTAAGGCTTACACTACAGGCAAGGCTAGTGCTACAGCTAAGGCTAAAGCTACAGGTTAGGCTTACACTACAGATTTGGCTAGTGCTACAGGTTAGGCTAAAGCTACAGGTTAGGCTAGCACTACTGGTTATGCTAATACAGGGTTGGCAATTTTCACACATCTGGTGTGACACTCATGGTTTCAGACTCTCATGCTCACACAAGAAATCTTATGGGAAATCTAAATTTTTCCATTATAAACCTAAAATTGGCAAAAATGTTGGGGTAGCTTGCAGACCCTACAGACTATTTACAAAGCAATAAACCTGTTACATACAGGTAAATGCATGTGCATGTGTGTGCAGACTTGTCTCGAAAATCTCACGCCAGCCAGCTGAAAAAAATTCACAACCCTGGGCTAGTGCTACAGGTAAGGCTGATGGTACAAGTTAGGCTAACAGTACAGGTTAGGGTAGCGCTATAGGTTAGGGTAGTGCTACATGTATTTGTTGCATGTGATCTGGTCCACAAGTCTGACTTTCAGGCGGTTAGAGGCGTACTTGTGGATCTTCTTGTGAAATGTTCAGCGTGAGACGGCTGTGGCCGTGAACAGTCCTGCTGGGCTGCACGCGCCTGTCGGGCCACGTCACGGAGACACTAATTTCCCATGTGCTCTTGCAGCTTGAAGCTGGAGTGCGAGAAACTGGCCGGCGAGAAGACTGAGATGCAGAGGCACTACATCATGGTGAGTGAGAGCCTCCCCCGCAGCCGCCCCCCCCCCCCAGGACGACAGCTTGTCATTTCGGTGCCATCCTTTGCCTCTCGGTCTTCTGTCCGACGTACAACGGTGACACCAGGGTTAGCATTCTCGGAGCGTGCTAAAGACCAGGCTACTCCCCCTCCGCACAAGGATTTCAGAGGAACAATGTGCTCCTTCATACAGCGGAAGAGGAAGAGACCTTGTAGCCCGTCCTCAACCCCCCCCCTCATACCCCCACCACAGCAACGAGGCTCCCTGTGACATTCAGCTGACCTGCCGATACATCCTGCACATTATCTGCCCGGCCGGATCCGTCCGGCATCCGAGCCAAGGGCTGGCCGACAGCACAAGGCCCCCATGGGGCCCGCACGGGGCCCGCACGAGGTCCACACGGGGCCAGAGTCCATATCGTGGGGAACGGCACCGCTTCAAAACCCAAACGCAAGTCCAGAATCGGCACTTAGACAAGCGCAGATGGGTTCCGTTTTCATGTCTGTGTTATGTGTGTGTGTGTGTGTGTGTGTTCACAGCAGCTTAGAGGGAGAGAGAGAGGGAGGGAGAGGGTGAGACAAGGAGGGAAGAGGAAAGTAAAGGAGAGCAGGAGATGGGGGGGCGTAGCATATGGGGGGGAATACAAGCACGGACGCGTAAATAATATGAAGTAACAATGACCCTCTTCATTTGACAGAGGAAAATGCCCACAGGCTAAATTTAGGGGCTTGCAGCTAACAGAGTCACCATGTACATTGGGACTCATGTTGACAGACATCCAGTTCTTTTTATAAGTACATAATTTATTCCTCTCTTATTTATTTTTTTTAATATATGTGGTACTGAATGTTCTTGCTGATCAGTTGTCAGGTCAGGGACGGGAGGATTTATTGGGAGAGACGTCTGGCAGAGCACCACGTGCGGGCGAATCTAATCTAATCGTTCAGAGGCTTCTTAAACGATAACCCCCCCCGCCCCTACCCACACTGACCCCGCCCACTACCCTCCGATGGGAACATACGCCCTCTGTTGGTTGCAGCAGAGGCAGGTGGTGACATCACCATCTTCCCAGCAGGTCATTCATCCGGTTGGGCTTCTCAGTTCTAAAAACGTTCTAGAAGATGCATACAAAGTAATGTGGAAAAAGATTATTATTATTACTATTGTTATTGTTGTTGTTTATAAGAATAGTAACAATGTTGGGAAATTAACACTGGTGGACACTGCTAACAAAACCACTCAGAGAGTGACAAAAGCAGGAAGTAAGCATGTTTGTCACTGTATTCTGGGATCACCTTGCTCTATTTTGTGTTCTAAGAGCTGCTTGTTAAGCAGTTCTGTGGATCAGTGTTTCCAAATCCGGTCCTCAGGGACCCACAGCCGGTCCACATTTTTGCTCCCTCCGAGCACCCTGCCAAACAGTCCACATTTTTTTCTGGGAGAGAGCAGGAACGTGAACTACCTTTGGTCCCTGAGGACTGGATCGGGAAACACTGATGTACAATGCTGCCTAACAAGCAGCTGTCCCCTCTAAGTGGAATTCGGAATCACGGCTGTTCTCAGATCAGAGTTTTTGTGGAGGGGGCAGGTGTGGATGAAAGGGAGACTGACCTTCATCCAAACCTCTCTCAGACAAGCACACCTCAGTTGGAACACTCCATCAACGCTTAATTTCGGCTGCTTCATATATCCCATCAAGGGATGCATTATTTTTCAGAGACTCTTCCTTAAAATGACGTGTGTATTTACTGTATCTATGTGTGTCTGTGTATGTGTGTGTCACAGTATTTGAGGCAGAAAGCTACACAATGACCCAACAGCACAGTCACCGTGACAACCACGTGTGTGACAGAAGGCTCTCTCTCCTAACCCCACCCAACCCTTGAAATGTATTGTAATAACTGCCAGACTCAGGCATCACAGCGGCAGGAAGGAGAGAGAGAGACACACACAGACACACAACCCTGTTTGAAAGAGAATGTGCTCTTTAATATCAGCCCATTAAAGTACCACACTTTTGCACAGTATTGTATATGCTGCTTTTTTCAACATCTGTGAAATCACAAATCCCGGATTTTAATATTACAATAATAACATCACTTTTTTTAATGGTGGTTTGTGTTTTTTTCCAGTACTACGAGATGTCGTACGGCCTGAACATCGAAATGCACAAACAGGTAAGCTGCCCTCTGCTCTGCTCTCTTCCCATGATGCTCTGGGAAGCCGATTTCCAGGCTCACCCCTCCCACGATGAGAATTGCTCTGCTTCGTCCAAGCCTGTGCAGGCCTCCTGTGAAGATTTCTCCCTACTGAATTTCAGTTTCGTTCAAGGTCCCAAATGTGTGTGTGTGTGTGTGTGGGGGGGGTATTGAGGTTTTCAGGTGTGACCCATGCTTTGAAGACTCAGATGAACAGGGGTACATGCCTACAGTCACGTCAGTCAAACAGTCCTGTGTACATTTCCTATGGAGCATATTAGTTTTGTCTGGTGGAGTTTTGTCTGGTGGAGTTTTGTCTGGTGGTTTCTCAGTTAGACTGCAGATCTGACAAAGATCCCTCTGCGTCAGAACATTAATGGGTCCCTGTGGGTGCAAGTAAAAGCATAATTATCACGGGGAGCAGTCAAGCATTGTATGTGCTCTGCCTTTCATTATTAATGTCAACAATTAATCCCTCACGTACATCATTTCCTTACCACACTCCCTGGGCGTCACTCTCCACGTGCTCTCTGAGGTCTCCTCAAAGACCAGCAGCGCTATATATTTCAGCGCCCCCTGATTATCGTGATTCATAGTTATTGTATTGAAAATTAGTTGATTTGTTTAATTGTTTGGTTGGCAGAGGAGTAGAACAAACAAACGGAACGGCCTGGGGTGCCAAAGGAGCGCTTTGGGAATTGCTCACGCTTCTGTCATAGCTGAGGTCTTTATTCAGCTCGTCTGACTGTATCACAATCTAAATCTTTCCAGTGTGAATGTGTTATCAAAGGAATTATCTAAGTGCGCTTATGTCCTAATCAATTATTCACCATTTATTTGATTTCTGAGTCTCTAATGCTTCATTTTTCCATGGCTTTCAATAAATCATTGATTCAGAGTAACAGTAAGCACAAATGGAAATACGGAAATAATTCGTATATGAATTTAGAATATTTATAATAGAATATCTGTGTAACTGCATATCTTAAAACCAATTTGGACACGTCTTAGTACTTTAAAAGAATTCTTAATAGTGAATTAAGATGAATTCTGTTTTTGCTGTTTTTAGTGGGTTTTTTTGTGTTCGTGTCCCCTGCTTCTTGAGGTAGGCTCCAGACTAATGGCGACCATAGGTGATCAAGAGTGATAGATTATATATAGCACGATCAAGAGTGATTAAGCTGAAGCTGAAACTTTGAGGCGTCCATCGTGCCCTGCACAGGAGGCATGGTGTTGACAGTCTATAGTGACCCTGCATTTTGTTGTCTGGGCAGAAGTTGGTCAGCACTGTATTTATAGCCCCCCCTCTGGCATCCTCTGGGGGGGCCCTTGGCCGGGCAATTCAAGGGAGTCACGACGCCGATTTGGGCCTGACTGAACTCTGCAGCATGGGTCACGTTCTGGCCAAATGTGACAGCCTTCCTCCCCCAGCTTATGCACACGAGGGTGAAATGTGAGAGGGGGGGAAATTAGCAAACCGTTAGCGCCTCGCCACGACCACTTGTGATCTTAGGACGTCTGTGCCGTTGCGTGCTAATGCAGTAATGGGGCTGCTGCCGGCCCACTTCTCTCACTTCGGGAGCAGGAGTAGGATCTTCCTGTAGGGCCTTGGTAGAGGTATAAGCCGGCCAGGGTGCCAGCAAGAGGCGGAGCCATGGTGTTAGTTTATGCACTTCCATCACTGGCAGCCAGGTGGCACTGCTGTGTCTCAGTGTATCACTTTTACTTATTTATTTGAAGTGTTTATCCAAAGACTTGTAAGTAGAAGGAAGGGTTACAATGCTCCCTGAGATTTGAACCCACGACCTCGGCATCATTGGCACAATGCTGTACGTGTTGAGCTACAGGAGCTTAGTCTTTGTCTGATAGGCATGCATTATGTTTCATAGCAGTCCACTGTGTGTTCTGTGTCGCTGTGGTGTCGACCCAGATCAGCTTCATGTACAACAGGGGTCACCAACCCTTTTGAAACTGAGAGCTACTTCACGGGTACCGAGCCATACGAAGGGCTACCAGTTTGATACACTCTTTTTAAATCCTGTATAATAAACATGTTTTAAATGCTTTTTTTTTTAGATATTGTCATTTTCAAATCTATATAAATGCAAATGTGATTAAAGAAGAATAGCAACAGGATAAAATTAAATTTTAGACGCTGCTCACCGGTGAGTTGTGCTATTTTTAGAACAGGTCCGCGGGCAACTCATGTGGTCCTTGGGGACATCCTGGTGCCCACGGGCACTATGTTGGTGACCCCTGATGTACAATATAAGCTGCAGTCGGGTTGCAGACTAAAACTATTCTCTTTTACTTACTTTACTTCCAGTATATTGAAATTTAAACCTGGAGAGCAAACAGTATTGCATCTGTCCGTCTCCTCTGCTGAAATCTTGGGTTGTTCTTCAGTTTTCTGTTTTTTTTTTGGTGATGAGCTGGATTAGGAGCATGCAGGTTTCTGGGCCAGCTAAGGAGGACTATAAGGAAACACCGCGTGTGTGTGTGTGTGTGTGTGTGTGTGAGAGAGAGAGAGATTTATGATCTGCGAGAATTGCGTCACCCTGCTGGAATGACCAGGTGGTGTTCAGTATCACACACTGCCTGATCTCATGCTGTTCTGGTTCTTGCTATATGCTTATTCTATCTGTTATGGGCTTTTTTTGTTTACTGTTTGTTTGTTTGTTTGTGTACCTCCATTGTTCGGCGACTCCAGATGCTTGTTTGTTTACGTCTGTTTTGCCTGCTCTATTCTACGGCTTTGCCTGCATGTTTGTTCGTGTATCGGAGCTTATTTTACAGCCTGTTTGCTCTTTCCTGTGCTTTCCTGATGTGGAGGCCCACTGCCTCGCCAGAGGTTAATGCATCGGCACAGACGTGACCAGACGCATGCTGTTAGAGGATGCCGGCCTTGGCAGCGGTCGCCAGCGTGTTTGGACAGATTGGCATCACTTAGCTGGCAGAAACGGCCCACACGCACGCCGGGGGGCTGTTCAAATAAACTCTGATTCTGAAACAGCAGCAGATTTTATAGGATGGTATCTTTACTGAAGTACAATGATGGCTGCCTTTGCTTCCTCTCTGAAAGGGCTGTGCTTTCTGTTTGTTTGTGTGTGTGGGTCAGATATACATTACATTGTGGGGATCAAATGTCCCACAAAATGATAAAAACATGTTATTTTGACTTGTGGGGACCATTTGTTTTGGTCTCCATAAGGGGAAATTCAATTTAATAAAAATCTGTGACTGCAATCAAAAAACTAAAAAAGCCAAAAGTCTTATACTTTGTTTGGTTACTTATGGTTAAGGTTAGGGGTGGGTAGGAGTTAAGGGTGTCATTGTTGGAATTTGGGTTTTGCCCATAGAAATGAATGAAGAGTCCCCACAAAGATATGAGTAAAGGTTTGTCTGCCTGTGTAGTGTGTGTGTCTGTATGTGCGTGTGTCTGTATGGGTTTGTGTGTCTGTGTTTCTGTGTGTCTATGTGAGATTATGTGTGTCTTTGAGTGCCTGCGCCGTGTGTTTATCTGTGTGAGAGTGTGTATGTCTGGGTGTGTCTTTGTCTGTGTGCCTGTGTATCTTACGTGTGCGTGTGTCTGTGTTGCGTGAAGTTACGTGTGGTTGGCATTCTCAGAGCTGCACACTGTGTTGCAGGCGGAGATCGTGAAGCGCCTCAGTGCCATCTGTGCCCAGATCGTGCCCTTCCTGTCCCAGGAGGTGTGTAGGGTCCAAGCCCCGACACACTCACGCCCACACTACCGTGCTGCTGATCTGCATCCACTGCACTGATACTGATGTACCGATATAGTCACTCACTGTAGGCCCAGCCTAGCAGCACTGCATGCCAGTGATAAATCCTCTGCTTAACTTATAAGTCACTTTGGACAAAGGTGTCTGCCAAGTTTAAATGTTAAAAGTAATATCCATATAGCCACGCAGGGCTCTGCACCTGTTTTTCATAGTGTTCTTCTAGGCTTCTGACGTGGCATCTCCGTGTCCCGCAGCACCAGCAGCAGGTGGTCCAGGCCGTGGAGAGGGCCAAGCAGGTCACCATGGCCGAACTCAACGCCATCATCGGGGTGAGATCTCCGGAACTCCCCGGAACTCTCCGGAACTCCCCGGAACCTGCATCTTCTACATCACTAGCACTTAGCACTGCATTCACTGTATTACATTCTGTCATATAGCAGGTACATCAAAGTGACTTTCAGGCACAGGTAGAGCGTACAGCACCTTGTATT